AAGGAAGGGACGAAGGAAGAAAGGAAGGAAAAAAGGAGGGAGGGGGGAGGGAGGGAGGGGAAGGAAGGAGGGAGGGAGGGAAGGAAAGAAGGAAGAAAGGGAAGGGAAGGGAAGGAAGGAGAGGGAGGAAGGAAGGAAAGAAGGAGGAAGGAAGGGAGGGAGGGAGGGAGGATGGGAGGAAGGGAGAAAGAAAAGATGTAAGCAGGCTGGGAACCCTGCAGTTTTCTGCACCTGGGACCAACATGACAAGGGAACCACATGATCCAGGCTTCCTCACCCCATTTCTATAGAAGCCAGGCAGAAGATATACTCAGTTTTGTGGCTTTGCTATGTAACCCAGGCTGACTTGGAACTCACAATCCTCCTGCCTCAGCCTCCTGCACGCTAGAATGATAGGCCTGTTTCACTACTCAGCTCTGTGGATGTGGCAGACATGAAAAAATGGCTACAGGTATGTGCCAATAAAACTTTATTTACAAGAAGACAGCTGGACTGGTGGCACAAGCTTATAATCCCAGCACTCAGAAGGTAAAGGCAGGAGGATCAAAAGTTCAAGAACAGCCTAGGATACATAGTGAAACCTTTTCTCAAAAAAACCAAGGGATGGGGATTAGCTCTAGATGGCTAAGGGTTAAAAGTACTCGTTGTTCTTCCAGCACATCCGGTTTCAGTTCCTAGCAAACACATTGTGCTGGCAACTGTGCCTAACACCAGTTCCAGGGGTTCCAATGCCCTCTTCTGGCCTCCACCAGAACTGCATGCACATGGTGTTTAAACATACATGCATGCAAAACACTCAAAAACTTTTTTGAGGGGGTCTTTTGAGACAGGGTCTCCCTATGGTGGCCTGGAACTCACTATGTAGACCAGGCTGGCCTCAATCTCACAGAGCTCCACCTGCCTCTGCCTCCCAAATGTTGGAATTAAAGTTATGCACTACCATGCCTGGCCCACAAAAACTTTATTTAAATCTGGAAAAAAAAAAAAAAAAAAAAAAAAAAAACAAGGGATAGGGATGAAGAGATGGATCAATAGTTAAGAGCATTTGCTGCTCTTCCAGAGAACCCAAGTTCAGTCCTAGCACCCTCGTCAGGTGGCTCACAATTGCCTCTAACTCCAGTTCCAAGGAATCCAACAGTTTCTTTTGGCCTCTGTGGGTACCCATACACACATGTACATACAAACATACAGACATAAATAAAATAAATAAATAAATAAATATTTTTTTAATTTCTGTGAGTTTGAGGCCAGCCTGGTCTACATAGCATTTCTAAGCTATCGAGAGCCACATATAAGACCCTGTCTCAACGAAACAAAATAAAAAAATAAAAAACTCTAACAAGGAATGGGGTCATGGCTCAGTGATAGAGTGCATGCCTAGAATCCATCAATGAGGATCTAGGGGCTGGCTCAGCAGTAGAACACTGGCCTAGCATGGAGGAGTCCATGAGTTCCATTCCCAGTAGCACAGAAGAAAAAAAAAAAAGTGTGTTTGCCCTGAGGCCAAACTTTTCATGGGACAAAAGGAAAACTGAGGGCTGGGTGTGGTGGCCCACGCCTTTACTCCCAGCATTTGAGAGGCAGAGACAGGCGGATCTCTTGTGAGTTCAAGGCCAGCCTGCTCTACATAGTGAGTTCCAGGACAGCTGGGGCTACAGAGAGACCCTGTCTCAAAAAGACCAAAAAAAAAGAAAGAAAAGAAAACTGAGACTCAGAGAGGGTCAGGAATGGATTCCAGTCACACAGTAAGTAAGGCATAACAAGTGCCTCCTTTCTCCACAACAGGCTTTAATGGGTGAAGGCTGACCTCTGGAAGGCTGAGTGAAGGCAGGCTGTCCAAGGAAGGGTCTCACCTTGGGCCTCATCAGGGGTCACCTGGCTCTCCAGCTGGCCAGCCTGCAGTGCACGGCGGAGCTGCATGCGGATGATATCGATCTTGGTCTTACTGTCCTGCAGCATCTGCTGTGCTGTCAGTAGCAGCTTCCGGTCCTGAAGACAGACATTTGAGGTGAATGACCACTGACCCTGCTGTCAATACCACATGAACCTTGGCATGACAGAATATGCATGCACGTGTGTGTGTGTGTGTATACACAACATCACACACTCCTACTGACCTGTGTCCAGTGCACAGACACAGATAGTTCATAACTTCAATTCTAGCTTTACCCCCTGACGGCTGAGCTAAAATGAGCTCACTGTGCTGCCCAATCTCTCCTAGCCTCAACTCCTACATCTATAGTGTGTGAACCTCCACTGGACTGAGGATTCACAGCCTAGCTTGGACCAACTGGAGCTTTATCCACTTCAGCTCTCAGAACATCTGCACGGAGGTGTCCCCAGGGCCACAGGCAAACTGCTCTATAGTGTGTTTATATGAGATACACCGAACAGGCAAATACAGAAATAGGAAGCAGACTAGTGGTAGCCAGGGATAAAAACGGTTAATGGGGACAGGGTCTCCCATCAGTCATGAAATGATCTGAAACTAGACAGAGGTGAGGGATACCTAATGTCACTGAATTGTACATTTTAAAAAGGAAAGCCAACCCAGGCCTGATGATGCATGCCTGGCATTCCAATTCTTGCAGACAGAGGCAGGAGGATGGAAAGTTTGAGGCCATCTTGGGCTACAGCGTAAGCCACTGCCTCAAAAACAACTAAGTAGAACAGAAAAGGATGAATGCCCTTCCTGTGACACTAGGTCTTTGTTGTTGAGGATCCTGGGAATGGTCCCAGGGCCATGAATTTGATAGGTGTGCTCTAATGGAACTGCACTGCAGTAGGAAAAGTGACTTTCATTTTGCTTTAATTCAGCATTTTCTGTGGGATTTTTTGTTTATTTTTGAGTCATTATCTCATTTTGTAGCCCAGCCTAGATTGGAACTCAGGATCCTTAGGGTACTGGGGTGAGAGGCATGCACTGGGCTGGCTTGGACTGGCTTTATCTTGTGTTCTGTTTGTGATTCATTCTTGTGGTGGGTTGTTGTAAGGGGATCCTGACCCCTCCCTTGGCTTGCCACTTGACTGACTTCCTTACTTTTCTCTCAGGAGACCCCAAGCAGAAGCCAAGTAGTTGTACTGGACCGCAAAACTGTAAGTTAAAGATGTTGATTTTTTTCATTGATTGTTTTGTTTTTGAGACAGAGTCTCACTATGTAGCCACAAGACAGAAGGAAAGAATCAATTCCTGCAAGTTGTCCCCTAACCTCCACATGTACACCCTATCTTGTGCACTCTCTCTATCCCCCCTCCCAAATTAATTGATTTAAAAAAAGAAATCAGACTAAGACAAAGATTTATACATGGCCACATGTACATGGTTGTGTATATGAACAAGTGAGTGTGTACACATGCAGGTATATGGTGGTATCTGTGTATCTGTGCTGGTAGGTGTGTACAAGTATGGATACGAACTTTTGCTGGTGGTTACATACCAAGTAAGGGTGTATGCATGTGTGTGTGCACACATGAGAATATATGCACAAGTATGCATATCTGTACATAAAAGTATGCATACATATATGAACTTATACGTGTGTGCATGTGCAGGTGTTTGTCAGTGGGCACATACACATACAGATGTATGCACAGTAATATGTGTGGGTGTGGGCACATGGGCTTGTGTAACCTGCTGATGGGTGTAAGTACAGGTGTGTGTGTATGCTGGTAGTTGTGTACATATGCACATGTATGTGTCCACAGAGTGTGTGTTTATACAACACATGGGTAAGTATATACACACTGCCCACCTTGGTGCTGCCGTTGCTGTAGGTCTGGATCATGTTTTCTGCTCCTTGTTTGACCTTCAGCTCAATGGCCAGCTGCTTCTCTAGGCCAGCCACTCGGCTTAGGTTGGTGGATAAGCAGGTGGGGCCACTGTCCCCTGGGGATTGGGGAGCATCTGGGGGAAAAAAGGAAGAGTATCACACAGTTGTCACCTCAGTCACTTAGGTGTACCTGGGAGACTTTGCCCCAGCCAATAGGACACCTACAGCCTAGCCGGGGTGCTCCCCCAGCAGAGGAATCTGGAAAGCCAGCACACAGGCAAAAGACCTGGGATCCTCTGGAATAGGGTGGGCCCCAGCACGAAAAAGGTATGAGAGGTATGAGATCATCAGGGTCAGCTGGATGAAAGGCCTCAACTACCTAATGGTGTGTAAGCCCACAGGAATGGGTGTGATATAGACTTGAGAGTACACCCTGGAGAGCTGATGAGGACTCACTGCGAAAGTAGCTTATGAGGGGGCTGGGAGACAGCTCAGTGGTTAAGAGGACTGGCTGCTCTTGCAGAGAACCTGGGTTCAATTCCCAGCACCCACATGGTGGCTAACAACCATCCATAACTCCAGTTCCAAGGGAATCTGACACCCTCCTCTGACCTCCATTTGTACTGTAGGCAATAACACTCATCACATAAAAAAAAGTCTACCAAGTATGGTGGCACATAAAGCCCTAGGTTCTATCCCTAGCACTGCATAAATCAGGTGTGGTTTTGCAGGCCTGTAATCCCAGCACTCCAGCACTCAGGAAGCGAAGGCAGGAGGATCAGGAGATCAAGGTCATCCTCAGCTACACAGAGTTTGAGGCTAGCCTAGGCTACAGGAAACCCTGACTCAAAAAACAAAACAACAACAAAAAAATTAGCTGGAAAATGGCTCAGCAGTGCTTGCTGCTTTGGCAGAGAGGACCTGGGTTCAGTTCCTAACCACATCAGGCAGCACACAACTGCCTGTAACTCCAGTTCCAGGGGATCTGACAGCCTCTTCTGGCCTTTGTGGGAACCTACATATATGTGGTACACATACAGAAATGCAGGCACGCACAAAACATCACATATACATGGATGGTTCACTGGTTAAAGCATCAGCTGCTCTTGCAAAGAACCCAGGTTCAGTTCTTCAAAACCCACATGGCAGCTAACAAGTGTCCCTAACTCTCCTATTCCAGGAAATTTGACATCCTCTTCTGGATCAAAGGGCATTGCATACATATGGAATACCACATGCAGGCAAAACACTCATACATATAAAAAAATAAATCTAGCCGGGCATGGTGGTGCATGCCTTTAATCTCAGCACTTGGGAGGCAGAGGCGGGCGGATCTCTGAGTTCAAGGCCGCCTGGTCTACAAAGTGAGTTCCAGGACAGCTGGGGCTACAGAGAGATCCTGTCTCAAAAAGATAAAAAAAAAAAAAATTAATAAATAATTTTTTAAAGGGGGCTATAGAGAAGGCTCAGCGGTTCAGAGCACTGGCTGCTCTTAAGAGGACCTGGGTTCAATTCCCAGCACCCACATGGTGGCTAACAACCATAATAACCCTCTGTAACTCCAGGTCCAAGAGAATTCAACACCTTCTTCCGACCTTCTTGGGCACTGCACAACACTGGTGAGTTGCAATACACTCATACACGTAAGTTAAAAATAATAAAATATTTTTAAAAATAAATACATTGGGGCTGGAGAGATGGCTCAGTGGTTAAAAACACTGGTTGTTCTTGCAGAAGACCCAGGTTTGAATCCCAGCACCCACATGGCAGCTAACAACTGTCCATAACTCCAGTCCCAGGGGATCCAACAGCCTCTTCTGACCTCTGTGGGCACTGCATGACACAGGTGCACTTACTGACATTCAGGCAATACACGAATACACATAAAATAAAAGAATAAATTTTTTTAAAAATTAATTTAAAAATACACATAATTTTTTTTAAAAACCCAAACAACAATAACAAAATAGTCTAGAAGTACTGTGGTTTTGGTGTAATTGTGACGAGCTTTGGGGGTGACAGCATGCAATGTTTGTGTGTTACTATGGCTATGAGTTTCTGGGTTCTCATGACATCATTACTCAGTTGTCCAAGAATAGTTGTGGCTATGGTTACATGGCTGAAGACCGGGTGTGGGTCTCTGGTGTAATCTGTGTGCTGGTGTGTATATCTAGGTATGCCTAATGCCATGGACAGCTCTGGATGGGGTTCAGGCATGGGTGTGGCCATGTGTTTCTCTGGGTGTTGGTGGCCATATGGGTCTGGCATTGGCCATGGCATTCTGTTGACCTGGGAAGGTGTCCTGATGAGGTATGAATCCAGGGGGTCAGTGGAGTGTCTGGCCTGGCCCTAGACCCCTGCCTGCTCCAGAACTCTCTGCTCACCATTGCCTGCTGCAGGGTCAGGCAGCACCACATGTGCGTGCAGCTCCTGCAGCTGCTGGTGCAGCAAGTCCAGGCGACGTGCAGAACCCCGAAGTAGCAGCTCCACAGGGCCTAGGCTACGGCCCAGGTCGGTGGTGGCCCTTCGCAAGTTCTCTGCACCCTCCTTCAGCTTCAGCTCCTTGCGGATCTCTCGCCTCAGCCGCTCTCGCTCCAGCTCCAGCTGCTGTTGCACCCCAGGGGCTGCCAGGTCTGCCCCGGCCAAGCCCAACTGTTCCAGCAGCGACCAGCTTCTAGGCTCACTCTGCAGGGGACAGAGAAGGTCAGAAGCCAGTGGGCAGGGGCATGGCCTCACCAGGGTATAGCCTACCTGTACCTCTATAGGGTATACCTCTATCCCACCTGATCTTAAACTAGAACTCCAGGGACAGATCCTCAAAATGGGGAGATCTGGGCTGGAGAAATGGCTCAGTGGGTAAAGGCACGTGCTGCAAAGGCTGATGACCTGAGTTTGACTCCCAAGGCTTACATGGTAGAAGGAGAGATCTGACTCCTACAAGCTGTCCTCTGATCTGCACCAAACACACACACACACACACACACACACACACACACACACACACACACACACTGTATGTATGAATGAATAAATGGCTCAGCAGTTAAGAGCACGCACTTCTTCTGCAGAGAACCTAAGTTCAGTTCCCAGGACCCACGTTAGGTGGCTAACAACTACTCCAGGGGGATCTGATGCCTCTGGTCTCCACAAGCACTGGCACACACATACACACACATACACACACACTCCACAGGCACTGGCACACACATACACACACATACACACACAATTACAATAATAATAATAATAATAATAATAATAATAATAATAATAATGGGTTGGAGATTTAGCTCAGTCATAGAGCCCTGGGTTCAGTCCTCAGTGCCGAAAAAGAAAAAGAAAAAAAAAAAAGACAAAAAAATAATAATAATAAATGAAAAGACAGGCCAAGAGCAAGGCCTCTTTCCTTCCTTATCTGCTCAGATCAGGGTCACCACCAGTTGTACCACATCTTCCTTTGCCTGTCTCTTGTGCAGTGGGATACTGGCAGGAAGGTCCCATCACCCCTGCATTGGGGATCCCCCCAGAAGATTCCTTCTGCTGCATCCGCACACTAGAAGGTCCCAAAGGCAGGCATCATACCCCTAAACCAGGGGTCCCTAGGGACAGATCCTGACTCCTCTCATCTGTATTCCAAAAGTAGGAGGTGCCAAGGGCTGGCTGGGCCTGTCTTTAATCTTCCTGTCTTCCATATCTAGGGCTCCAAAGAGCAGAGCCCATGTCCTTCTACATCTTCCAAACCTGAGAACTGCCACGGCACCTGAAATTTTCATTCTCCACATGGAGAATTCCAACAGCAGTGCCCCCATCTCCTCTCCTTAGTCCCCAACTGAGAAGCACCCCAAAGCCTCTAGTATATGTCACCTGGGGTCTCCTACCCACTGTATGGAGACCCTAGCCCCAACCTCCAGCTCCAGATCTGAAGAAGGATCAGTCAACATCCTGGGTATGAGGCTAAGGGCCACGCCCTCTTCCTGAACCTCAACCCTGCCAGGGCCTCAGGACCGCCACTTCCTCTTTCCTACCAGCTCCCAACACCCCCTGCGCCAGGCCAGCTCTGGGGCATGTAAGAGGTCCTTTCCACAGTACACCCTAAAGGGCCATACCTACTTCTCTGGAGGCAACCAGGGACAGACAGCCCTTGCTCCCTAATCCATGAGGACACCCAAGGGATATGCATCCACAGCCTGTATGTAGCAGGCAGGATGGGTACACATATACAGCGTGTGCAAGGTGCACAGGCTCACAAGTATGTTTATATTTCCAGCTCTGCAGATGCAAGCCTGGAATACAGGCTCACAAATATATGCACTACCACCTATATGAGTGTGATGAGTGGAACACGAAGTTTACAAGGGTGTGTACCTTCTAGCTCTGCAGATCTATACCTTGCTCACACGTATACACAGAATATACATGAACATGCACTTCCATACCTGCAGGTGGGTGCCTGGAACACAGGATTATGTGTGCACACAGAGTAGGCTCACACATATTACTCCTACTTGTGTGGCTCACAAGTGTGTGCACACTCCCACATCCACTTGCAAGGACGCTTATATACAAACAACCCTTGAGTGCTGATTTGAGTCCTGCTAGAACCTACATGATAAGTAGTCCACCGGTCAAGTGAGCACAGGCTCTAAGTTCATATATGCACGCATACTCACACTGTGCCACATGGCCCAGGCCTTCAGTCCTTAAGCATGTCCTGATGGCAGGACCCTCCCACCTGCCCCTTGTCCACAACTTCCTCTTCAGGATCAGAACAGCCAGTCCTGTAGAGGTGGGGCTCCCTTCCTGCAGACAGGCAGCCCCAACTTCCTGCTTCCTCCTACCCAGATGTCCACTGCTGCTGACCACATCTTAAGAGGCCTAGGCAGCCCAGCTGACCCAACAGTAGTTCCCTGAAACTAACACTAGGAAGAGACAGCACTGGGGGTGGGGCTAAGAATGTCCCCCCAAACAACAGCTCACAACCATTTGCTAAACATTTACTGTATCTCAACCACCAATAAAAGCAGTTACAAGGCTGCACATGTCAGGGACAGGGTGTAGATAAGAACACTATTTCCCACTCCACTGGATTTTGCCATGAACCTAAAACTTCTCTAAAAAATATTTTTTAAATAGTAGTAATAATTATAATAGCAGTTACAGGCAGCAGGTTCAGCTCAGTAGTAGACCATGTACCTAGCATGTATGAGCCCTGAGTTCCATTCCCAGCACCACAAAACATAAAGACAGCAACAGGTATTACAAACCTCACCTAGGTTTCAACTACCACAATTCCATGTCGCAGGTGCTACTTGTTTTGTATTGAATTTGCTTTGCTCTGCTGTTTTGTTTTGTGTTAGGGTCTCATGTAACCTAAGTTGGTCTTGAACCCCTGATCCTCTTGCCCTTACCTTCCAAGTGCTGGGATTACAGGCTTGTGCTGCTATACCTGGCATAACATAATGCAAGTCTTCAAGATGAAGAAACTGAAACCTCCAGCAGTGGTAGTCCCTTGTCCCATGACCCCACAGCCAGCAGGAGGCAAGGCCAAGATTTACAACACTAGCTGGGAAGAGTCGCTTGTCCATCACATCCTGCAGCTGTGAGTCACCATCACAACAAGCACAGCTCTTCTATACTTCCAGATGTGACTAGAGATGTGCACCAGATGTGCTCCTGCGATCCTACCATCCCCTCACTAAACACCTGAGTAGTCACAGTGGGGGAAAGCTAAAGCTCAAAGGGGCCACAGCAGTCCCTCTCATGGAAGAGGGTGTTTGCCCACCTATGTGGCACTGTCTGGGACATTTGGGGCTGTCATCACTAGAGGTACACAGGTGACACCTTTCAAGTGAAGGTCGCAAATGCTTTGAGACACCCTGAGCTGTACAAAACAGCTCCCACCACAAAGAATGATCCAGCTCCCCAATATCAGCACTGTGGCCCTGGGAAGGAACATGGACCCTCAGCCTGGCCTGCCAACCTTCTCATTAGCCAGTAAAGATGCCACCTGCCAAGCAGTGGCCTAGCCTCCCTCTCTCCCCATAACCATTCTTAGCCCTATTTTGCCACATAATAAGAACAAAGCTCAGTAAGGCAAAGGCAAATTTGACCCCGGAATTCATGGAGGAACACCGCTGGGATTTAAACCCAGGCTCACCAAACACCACCCTGCATGACCAGGCCCCACCCCGTCCCCAGCAGGCAGAGCAGGGGGACACAGCCACAAGCAAGGCCAGCTAAAATAGGGGACATCCAGGCAAAGAGGAAAGGTGACCACTCTCAGCCCCACCTCCAGAAGTTGGGACCGGAGAATATGTCAAGCATGTACGGAGAGAGTCAGAACCTCCTGAATCTTCCTCTCTTGGGTGACTCACTTTTACCCAGGGACAAGGGGACACCTGAGGGTCAGCAGGGCAAACCCAGGAATTTCAGGGGCCTAGCCTGGCCTGGCCTGGCCTTAGAGAACTAGAATCGCTGCTGCTCTACCTGCCACCATAGACTGGGAGACACCAGACCAAGGGCACCCACCTCCTGAAAACTCTCTTGCCAAAGTGGCCAGGGACCCAGATCCCAACGTCCTGATATTTCAATGCCTGGGGCTTCTCCGGAATCTAGACAGGACATCCGCTTGCCGCACAGGGGACAAACAGGCACACTTCAGAGACAGAGGGACAGGACAGCAAGCTGAAGCAGGGATGAGCAGAAGGGAGAAGACGGGAAGGAGTATCAGGCATAGGTCCAGCCTCATTCCAGGAATCATAGCTTCCGTATGCATCATGTGTGGGGCATACCAAGCACATGCATGGACTGGGAGATTCCTACACAGCCCTCTGTGGGCTGCGAGAGGAGCGGGCACCAGTGCATCCCGCCTGCAGGTCTGACCTTGTGAGATCGGCAACACCAGATACGCCCAGCTCCTCGGCAAGGCCGGCAGGCCATCAGCAGTACTGGGGGAGAGGGGCACAAGTAGATACAGGAGAGATATGGGAGCAGGTGTAGAAGATGAGAACCAGTTACACAGGACAATGGACTAAATGGTGAAGAGCTAATGGAGCCACCAGAGACACAGATCTCAGATTTGGACCACTGAATCAGAGGGTTGGAGCTCACTCTGACCCTGCTTCCCCTTGGGAAGGTGCGTTGAGGGCAGTAAGGGCCAACAGGTAGCACAGGGAAAGACTTGTGGCTAGTGGATGCCAGTCACAGGTGCCTGTGTGCCTGTGGGTGGGGGGAGGGTGACCCATCCCTGCCACCCCTACACAGTAGGACTCTAGACAGAAAAGCATCCCACCAGTGGTCCAGGACACGCCCCACCTGGGATACTGTTCCACCAGTCAGCCTGAAGGGTGGCTGCGGAGTGTCCCCAGTCCTCTAGCCTAAGGAGGTGACTCGGGCACTTCCGCCAACAGGTGCCTATCTGGGTGGCGTCGGGGCCATGTAAAGCCATCTGCAGGTGGGGGTGGCTCCGGCTTTGTTGTGCGGGGGAGGGGCACGGGCCGCGCTGATCCTCCCGGCGCGCCGGGTGAAGCGGCACCTGCCGGGAACCGAACGCTGAGGACAGGGCCGGGGCAAAAGGGGGAACGGGAGGCACCAAGACGCGCAGCCAGCCTCGGACACGAACAGGGCCCCCACTGCGCCCCCTCTTGACTCTCGGGGAGGGTCCGAGGCCGGGGTGAAGCGGGAGGAACCCGGACAGCACCCTCTCCGTGTACCAGGTCAGCGCCTCCACCTGCCAGCAGGGCCCCGCGAGGGCTCCCGAGTCCGGACCTCGGCAGCCGGAGGGCGGCCGCCCTCACCCCTCACCCCGGGTGCCCCCAGGCCCGGGGTCCCCAGCGCCGCGCAGCCGCTCCCTGGACGGACGCTGGTCCGCCTACCTGCACGGCGTCGCTGGCCATGTCCTCCAGCCGCCCACCAGGGGTCCCCGACCGAGGGAGGGGCGTGCGAGTGCGCGTGCGCACGGGGCGCGGCGGGAGGGCCGGGCCCTGAGACCCTCCCCGGCGCGCCCG